AGTTGATGATAAGACTTGAGAAAAATACGTTGGCATCTTAAACCCCTACTCTTTTCCAAAAGTACAGAACAGCGTCCATTCAAGAAACAGTGGAATGGAGTAGGACTGGTCAGCCTGAAAAAAAAACAAACTTAAGAGAGTAAGATCTATCTTGGGTTTTTAAGTTCAGTTGGTTGGTTGGCGATGCTTTACAGTTATGTGATTGGAGAAAGAACCAAGTGGGTTTGAATTACTACAGGTATATCTGAAGTGTGATGTTGTAATAGCAAGATAAACATAAAAATGCAGGTACATAATTGAACTATTTTCCTGTTTACCTAATTTCTAAACACCACCTATATATATTCTGAATGAATAACAAGAAATTCCTTGGTTCTTTTGCAGATCGTTCCCGAGATGTTTTAGAGCAGCTAGTCATATCGAACAAAATCAAGCAAGTAACATGGACTGTTTACTGATTATCTATTGTGTACATATGAGTGTAAAGTTTACAGATGGAAGACCTCTTTCAGAAAACAAGCACCTTGGAGAAATAGCTGGTGACTTGTACCACCAGATTGCTTCCCTACTTGTTCCCACCACAGGTCTCCATTGTCATTCCAGTCCTTGCCTGTGAGTCTGGGCTTCCCCATTGTCTCTACTTAGAGCCCTGCCTGTCTTTGCATTGCTGATCATACCTCATTAAGAGGAAAGTTAAACTATAATTAATGTTACACTGTCGTCGCTCAGCCTCCTTGAAATATCAGATCTGGTTACTACTTAGCATCTTTTAGCATCTTAGCTACATATACAAACCCAATTTAAGTAAGTCTGTGTTATGAGTTTGTAGTCTGAGGGGGTAGTTGCAACTAAAAGTACCAAGCCCAAACATAGTATTAACGCTTACGCAGAAGTGTCTTTAAGTTGGGACTTTAATCTGACAAAAGTCAACAGAACTGGTGAATGGAGGTGACGTTAACAGCAATGCAAATGTATTTTAAGTAGTAACAAGCAATTTCCTTTCACCATGTACTTTTGCTAGGTCTGGAAGAAAAACCACAGATACCTTTCTTTTGATGTTACTGATGCTGCACGTTTCTGTTTTTATTTGCCATCAAGTACTTCCTGGATTTTTACACATCTGGAAGTACAGTCTGTGAACATGTAAACATAAAATTGCTTTGAAATTGTTGTAACTTAACAAATTTCAGAGTGGTAGCTATGACCAATTAAAAGAATCTTGTATATGGGCAAATACTTACTTGCTTTGGCTTTTGCCAATGTTTCATGCCATTTCCTGCATGAAAATCCTTTTAGGGAACAAAACATTGGTCCTCATAAGCATGGCTTTGAGTCAAATAGGACCAAATTTAGTGTCTGAGTACATGAATCTCAGGGTGGTAGAGTTCAGCAGAGTATGTGTTCTGCTGTATGTGGAAAAGAAAAAAAATGTAGAAGTGTAGAATGAGTTTATTATGTGATGGAGCAGTGGTCTCATCACAATTATAAGTCATGTTCATTGGTTTTCTTGAAACAGCATAACCTCTAGTAAGACTTCTATGATTTCTACATTAAACTTTAAAAAACACTAGCAATTTTAACATTATACAGGGCAGGTAGCACACTATGTTGATGCCCTGCATCTGGAAGTAGCAGGGTTTAGCTAGGGTGGTCTTACGTGGATCTGATGACACTTAGAATCCAATGAGTTTAGGCAACCATAAGGAATGTTTACTTTATAATTTAACACTTGTCATAGCCACACTCATTTTAAGTGTTGCAGAAACAAACCAGTCTTCTAATCTATTTAAAGTTCAGGTCAAATTGCATGGAAGATAATAATCTATGTTGCATCCAGTAATATTAAAGGATATTATGATGTCTGACAATAATCTCTGTTCTTCTGTTGATTATATGGTTTGTGGAAGAGCAAGTCCATTTATAAAACTTGCTCAAGTGTAACTGAAGGCATAATTTTCAAACTCCAGTGCCTAAATCCCTAACTCTTGTTGCGTGCAGTACCATGGCTCAGCCCAGTGATGAATGTGTTCCTGTGACATCTATAGGTATAGCTGCACCAGCACAAACTATTCCTGCCAACAGAAGTTGGTTTTGCTACATTAGCAACTAGCATCTGAAGGCTGTAATTGCAGCAAATACATGGACCAGATAGAGGCCTAAGAACCTAATCTACCATGGTTTATTCCCTTTTTTGGCTAAAGAGTAGTTTATTTTTTCACCCTGTGGAATCCCTGGTATCAATCAGACCCATCGTTCCTTTGAACACTTGGACATGAGTTGGCAATAAATTTGTTTTGCACTGTTTTTCATATTGATCCATCTAGCTGAGTAGGCAGCAGCAATGACATGCTCAGTAATCGTGCCAAGTAAGTAAAGCATAAGGATCAGGCTGCCAGCCCTGGTTTCAGGAAGGGTGCCACAAAAAGAGTAAGTAGAATTGTAAGCTAACTCAAGTGGGAGGGGGCCTCAGGAGGTTTCTAGTCTAACTTCCTGCCCAAAGCAAGGCCAGCTCCAAGCACAGACCAGCTTAGTCAGGGCTTTATCCAGCCAAGTCTTGAAAAACTGAAGATGACAGAGCTTTTACAACCTTTTGAGGCAACTTGTTCCACTGCTTGACAGTATTAATGGTGGAAAATTTTTTCCTTTTATCCTGTTTGACCTTACTTTGTTGCAGCTTACACCCTTTCTTGCTGGAAGAGCCTGGTTGTCAGCCTGACAACCTCCTCATAGGTGTGGGCAGGCTGCTCATAGGTCCTTTGAAGCCTTCTGTTTTCCAAGCTGAACAAGCCCAGTTCCTTCAGTCTGTTACTGTAAGATATGTAGCTGTAACATAGCACAGTGATGGTCACCAGACTCTCATCTCAAGTGCTACATCCAGAAAGAAAATTGTAAATGAAGATAATGTAAAGCAGCTAAAGGTGGAAGACCACCAACATCTGTAACAGCAAAAGACACTTAAAAAAAATTCCATCTGTGGGACTGTGCTACTGCTAACTTCACTGGCAAAGTTGTCCTTTTTCTCCTTCCTGATGTAACCTTGGATTTGTCATGTTGAAGGCAAATGCAGCTTATACCATGTTCTTAAATGTGCATGTAGATGTACCATCTTCTCCCATAGCCTCTTCTAAACGTGTAACTTAGTGGTATATTCTCACCTTGTGCTTAAAAATCTGTACAACGCTGCAGTGAATTAACACTGTATTTTTAGGTTTGAAAGTTTAATGTAAGTCACGTTAAATCCTTCACTATCTTGAGTCTGCTCTCTTATGTGTTTATTACTAGCATAACTCTACTGGAGTATTTTTTGATTCAGGTTAAATCAGTCATTTGTGAGAGACTGAACAAGTTAATGTCTCAAACACCGTGGTGGGGCAAGTTCTGCATAACGACGAACTCTGGCTAACAATGAACCCTGCATGAACCGCAGGTGAGAAGCTGATGGAGGGTGTGCTGGAGGGTGCACAGTTCCCTGCTCTGATATGCTGAGCGGGACAGCTCACCAGATACGGCCAAAGGTCAAAGAAGGCTTATGCCTGCAGGGTGGAGAAGTTACTCCCCAAACAACTCCAAGCCCACCGACCCATTTCTTGAAGGTTCTGAAGGTACAAACCGCGCATGGCACCTAATTAGGCTAATGAGTTCAAGTGCCTGCCCGAAGGAGGGGCAAGAAGACTATGTGCACACCCTCCGGAACTGGACCTCTAGACTGGCTGGACCAATGCTGGACACAGGACTGGTGACATCTTTATCTTCTTTTCCTCTTTTCTCTCTTTCTCCTTTTTTCACAATCCCTGCACCTCATCCCTTTAGAGATAAGACCATTGACCAAGTCTGGGACTAGGAGTGGATCCAGCTGCGCCTGGGGCTCCTCTCTGAGAAGGAGTCTAAAAAGCAAGGGGCTCCGCTCTGAACCTCGTGACTCAACAGGAGGGATCGCTGCCTTCCCTGCATTGGTATGTATATGGTTACCACGGGTTACATGGTTCATTGATGTAGTTTCATGCCAATTCCTGTTCTGAGAAAACATGTCACCTGCTATTACGCCTTCCAAGTTCAGGCTCCTTCTGCCATAAATAAAATGTTTAACTGATAGTTTGGTGTTGTTTCACCTTAATTTAGCCTGAGGGAATTCCAAACTCACCATGACCCCTCCCCGGTCTGTCCAGCCCCGGTTGTGACATCATTTTCAACAAATGTTTACAAGCACTGGGTGAAGTGGGAGAAGAATGTAATGCGTGCAATTACCACTTCATATTCTGCATCGTTTGGATATTGTTGCTGTCGTAAATTGTTGGGTGAGCACTGCAGAATATTCACACATTGTTCTGAAGATTTAAGTTTGTAAATCTTCCGTTTGGATAGTTCTGAAAACTTGTTAAATTGTATTTTACAACTATGTACATCTGAATGTGCTCTTAAACCTCCTTTTTCATAAACATGGTTTTCTGAGTGAGTACCCCATACTTTTTCAAGTTTATAAGCTTCCACCACATCAGCTGGTATTTGGATAGTTGTAGGTGCATTGTGTTCCATTCTGCAATTAGTTCCCCATCACTGTTCAATAGCTAACTGCTAAAGGTGATAGCTCCTGCAAGACTGCTCTGAAAACACTGGTTTCTTCTTCAAATCGCTGCATTTACAGCCTCTTAACTGTGGATCAGGTTCCCCCCCCCCCCCCTTGCAGAGGTTTCTTCCTTGGCAGATGTAGCTGAATGATTCTGGAGGTTGTTGTCCAACTTTTATTCCCTGTTTTTATTCAGTTACCTTCTGTTCAGAACCATCATGGAAGGATTTCTTCATCCCTCACCAGCTTCCTGTAGTGATAGACTGCCTTTTTTACCCTGCAAAGCTAGAGAATGTCGATCATTTGACCCTATTCTCTAAGGGATAAAGTTAGCCTATAGCTATTACTATTTAGTCACTTTCCACTTAGTAAAAACTTTGGCTAGAGTTCAAGAAGCGTATTTTAGATTTGTGTGCAACTCCTAAATAATCACGCTGGCAGCTTCAAGGAAGAATAAATTTTTATTATAGGGGGGAAGGTTCAATTTAGTTACTTTGATGTTCAGAAGAGATATCCAGAAAAAGAGCAAGGCACTTTAAGTTGAGCATAGTATGAGCTAATAATCTAGTGGAGAGTTTTATGAAGGACAGCAGTAATTTTCTCTGTAAATAAGCTGCAGAAGTCTGCGAAAGCAGTGCAGTAATCTTTCAGCCATCGCCTTCTCCCCACAGCAGTATGCTTGATGTCCAAAACATTTCACAATAGTGTCGGAGAGCAAGACATGAATACACACGAAAAACATCAAGCATGCAAACTCTTACATGTAACTTGTCTTTGGATTTGCACTTCAGCGCAGGGCCCCTTGAATACAGTTTGCACTTAGTTTTTACCTCAAATGGAGCGAAAGCCTCTGAGTATGTCTGAAATCAGTACAGTGAAGGTAATCTACTTTGCATCAACAGATACGTTCCATGTTTAATTCCCACTTTCATTTTACATACTTGCAAAAAAGCCAACCAAGTGAGACAAAATTCATTACAAAACCAGCTTCAACAGTTTTCTAAGCTATTTGAGGGCTGGTAACTCCAGACAATACTTGATGTTAATCCATTGTTTTCTTGTCTAGTATACTCGGGAAGTGAATATTCTATAACTTTGTGCAATTGACTGTGAATGCTGTGGCTTAAAAACTGATGCCTGCCAGGGTCACCAATCAGCACTTCAGTTTGCTGTATCTTGATGCATTTCCTCAGCCAGTGATGCAGACCATCAGCAAGTTGTTCATCATAAAACATATCTCCTAGAACAATCAGGTCCCAGTTGCCAGCCTCTGAATTAATGATGTTCTTAATGGTGATGGGGAAGGGGTTCAGGTGGTTCAGTTCACAGTTCAAGATCATTGCCATTCCTGCAACTGAAAAGCCAAACAAAAGTTACATTTTAGGATTCTGCCATTCAGCCCCCCTTACATGTTTCCTTGACATATCTTTCAGTGTCATCTCTGAAATATTTTTGTTTATCCTTTCTAGGGACTTCCACAGTTTTTGTTATGGGTCAAAATCTGGCATAAAGTGATGGAATTTTATCCTCATTGCACCACGACACAGGAGAAAACTATTCCTGGAATAGATACCAATGGAAACCAATCACAGAATCAAACCCGAATATCCAACTGCCTTAATCTATGGATATACTTCCTCCCTAACCAATGAGTAATTAAATTATGAATAAGCTGAATACATAAGTCAATTACGGGAAAACAAAGTCTGGGGGGAAAAAGGCAAAATCTAGGCCCTCACATATGAAAGTGCAGGAAAATGCTATGGTCCTACAGAGAAGCCAACTTGCTGCCTGCGCTTGGAGTTCTCTTCCAAACCAGCCATGGTGGTGTATAGGCAACACTTGATAGAAACTTTGCTGTTTGTTCATTCCAAGGAGCTACGGAGATACACTCAGTGCAGGAAAGGCTGGTACAACCCAGCTTCTAATACTGGCAAAATGCATTCATCTTTTTAGCATTCTTAGAACTATGTTGGGAACCTGAATTGCACCCAAACGGAGCAAAGAAAAGTCAATGTTAAATGTGCTTTAAAAAAATAATATCTTTACACAGAGATGAAAAAAAAAGGCCTTACTAGGGTCAATGTCATTAGCAAGGACTTGTGATGCACCACTCATCACAGCAGCTATTGCTGTTGCTCCACATCCACTTCCAAGATCCAAAACCGATCGTCCTTTAACAACCCGTGGATTATCTAAAATATACCTGAAAAGAAAAACTGTTAAAGCAATGAACAAGATGATTATGCAGATTTGTCAGGTTTGCATTACACTACGTAAGAGTTCCTGTCATACATGTAACGAAGCATGGTATCTTAAAAACACATGTGCAGCTGGTACATAGCTCCTTATTTGTCTCTGCTGATATAAAAATCAAGAACCACCATCTTTCTCCCTTACTCCTCCCTCCACCCCACAAATGGAAAGAAATCCAGCCAAGTAAGCAACACTTTATTTCAATCAGCTCCTTCTCTGACAGGTGAGCTTATCTAATAACTGGATACAAACTGCAAGGTGACTAAAATGCTTGGCATCAGAAACAGGAAAGTAAACTGTTGGTAAGGATTTGTAGAAATGAAAAGCAATCTGACTGAAGAAATATGAAAATGCATTTGCAGTGAATATTGTGCCCCTCAAAAGACAAGGCCTACCCATTGCCCTAAAATACTGCTTATGCAACTGCTTGGAAGAAGAGGAATTTCTCCTCTTTCTTTTCCTGACCCATGCAGACACAGATGCACATACTGCTAGTCTGCTTAATGTTGTTCCTGAGTAGCAACAGGGAAATGCGAATAGAGCAGTGGTGAGCAGAAAGAGTATTTTCATCTAGTTGCTGACACCTGCCAAGAGGAATCAGCAAGCAAAAACCTCTAGGCTGGAAAGGAAGAAGAACTGACGGAAAGCAACCAGCAGTTACTGTTAAACATTACAAATCATACAGCTGTTACTGAGGGTTCAGAACTTCAACAATTGCCTTGAAATTCAATCTTCTACAAAGGGGAAGGCCCTAAGTGACAGGGGCAAGAGCCCTAGGTGACATAAATTACTGCAAATTCCCATAAATTTACTACCATTTACTACTAACTATCTGTTAAAGTAGAAACAGGAAAGGATTCTACATTTGTGTTGTCTTCTGGCATGGAGGGTGATGGCTGACTCTTCACGCAGGGCTACTGGTAAGCACAGCTTTTGCAGGTGGATTCCAGTGCAGGGAACTGTAATGGAAATGTTAAGATTGGTGTAAATGGCCAATGGATGGACGGGAATGCCTGGGCCTAGAAGCACCAGCAGGAATGGCAGAAGGAGGCCTAATAAGAGTGTCAAGTATTGATGGCACCTAGATCCCAGCACATCTGTATACAAATTCCCAGGAGCCCAGACTGGGAGAACAAAAGACAACCTACCCTCAAATTAAACAGTTTGAGCCATTACAAGACGATAGCAGGAAGGTCGAGACCAGGACTGAAGATGCAAAATACCCAGATCAGAAACCCAGCAGACATGAGGAGGACCTGACATCCCATGCCTCTTGTGCTACATGTCATCACAAGGAATCCTACCAGACAGCACGGGCATGCGCAGCTTGGTGCTTCTGAGTACGTGGTTATGAATCCGGTCAGTGCAACTAGCTCAGTTTTAATGAAAATCACCTTCTCCTATGAGGTCTGGCACCCTTACCCTAATGTTGCAGCATTATTTACTACTTTGAAGAACTACAGATGCTGTCTTTTCTGAGAGCACCCAGGCAGGACATTTGTACAGAGGCTCAGCAGCTCTGCTGTTCAGCAGCAGTCCCCCCGAGGCAGTCACGCCTCTGAGGACGGCCCCTAGTTTACCAACGGGGCAGAGGACAGGGGTGGGACCTCCACAGAAAGTGCTCCGTTTCCCCTTTCTAAGGGCCATGCTTGGATTTGCAACGACTTTCCAGCAGTAACTTCTTGTGTAGAGCATGATCCAGCCTAATGCTGCAAGTGCCTTGTTTCCAGCTGAGTGGTTCTCCAGTTACCGCTAATGACCGGGGTGACTTAGGACAGCTGGAACCGACTGTATCCCCTGGCACACACACAGGGCTGCTGTTGGAGACTGCTGTCTGCCGTGCTGGGTTAATGAGGTATCTTTGGTTACACTGAGAGGAATAGCTTGAAATAGGAGACTCCTGATCTTGTGGAAATGCCAACTGTGAAATGAACACAGTGAGGGAAGCAGTATGTTTTCATGCTCCCTTTTTCTTTTTACTTTTCCAGATTATGCAGCTAATTTCTGACATTCCCAATACATCAAAACAAGTGCATAAACACTAAGTCAATAAAGTGGTGAAATGACAGATAATAATTATTGCTACCCAAATATCTGGGCATATGAATCATACAGTAACAAAATGTAGATATTACCTTGCCTAATTTAATTATGCAATGTTTAGGGGCACTCTAGTTCATCTACATGGCAGGCTAATCAACTTGCAATTTAACTGTTAAGTCTCATCTTTTTCCTGGTCAAAAAAGCCTTCCTATTTATGCTTTCTTGCAGAAAAACAGCAAAGCCCCAGTTCAGATCCTTCCCTTTCATCTATGTAGGGAATGTTCTGACAGCTTGTTCTTTGCTGTTAACAATTATGAACTTTTTCTGCTGTTCAAAGTGAGAGATTTGATTTTACAGAATAAAAGAACTCCAACTAATTCCTGGGAATCAGGAACATTAAAGACATTTTGACAGTAAGTGGCCAAAATAAAAATGTGGCTTCTGATGTGACTAAGAGAGAGACACAATAAAGCTTGACAATAAGGCTGCTGAAATCCTAAATGAGGAGAGTGATTCAGGCTAACCAGCACTCCAAGTGCATCAGCATAAACCTACTATTCTCAACAGACCAGACACACATCCACACTCCTGTCTGTCTCCTACAAAAAAACCCCCATGTGTTATGACAAAACAGCAATCCTCCTGTTTGGAGCAACAGCGAGTGATAAAATTAAACAGCTCGCTAGGTTTTGATGGCAACTGCACAGATCCAAATTCAGCCCCGTTGTCAACACATGCATCGCCACCGAAGACAACAGATTTCAACTTAAGAGCCGTAAATTATTCTGTATACAGCAGGTGCTGAAACTTCACTGCCAACCAGCAGAGATTTTGTCTCTTCCTGTATAGGCAGAGGAGCATGGATATGCACTCTCATACAAGGCAAATACACATCGTTAGGAATCGCTACAAACAGAGCCAGGTCTGACATTCTGGCCCGCAGCAGGCTGGACTTATCAACTCTGGTGATGCACACTGCGTACCTGGAAAGGGCTTGGCCTCCTGGCCAGTAAATTGCCCAGAACGGGTCCCCGTAAGGCCACAGGTCAGGTTTTTCCCTCCAGAACCTGCAGCGAGGGGTGAGGAGGCGCAGTCGTATCTCTGGCGTGAGGTGCCCGCTGCTGGTGACCTCCGTGTTCTCCTCCAAAAACGCTCTCACCTCGGGGTCCAGAGACTTGCTGGCGCTCCAATGGCAGCAGCGCTTCCAGCGCAGAGAGGGGCCTCCCCTCCTGCTCCTCCAAGCCTTGGCAAAGGTGTTCTGCCTGCCCAAGAGGAGGAGCCGCTTCCAGCCGCGGAAGGCCATGTCTCCCCAAGGACAAACCCCAGGAGAGCTCGGAGCAAGGCTTATCTGAAGCGGGTGATGAGGCAGAAAGCTTGAAACAAACTCACAGGATCTTGTTTTTCATAGTGATGGATGACAATTCCTGAAAGGAGAACAGTGCTACGTAAGTGATGTTTCTTCAGTAACTTCAAGGCTATACACCACCAGGGCTTTAGAAAGAAGAGGTTGACATGCTGTTGTGTGACCATGAATGCGTGCCTTGCCCCTGCCCAAAGAGCCTCTGAAGTCCGAAAGAAGTGGTATTTAAGAAAGAAGCTATCAAGAGACCCATTCAGGAGAGCGCTAGAAACATATCCAGTGAGAAACAACCAGTTAGCTGGACAGCTGATAGAGCTAAAAGTTAAACGTGCAGCCTTTTAACATCTTCTCTCTGCCTTGAAGATAAAGACACAGCAATCTACTCCCATTTAAGGTTCTTCCATTGAATCTTAACATGTTGTAGTAGGGCTCTGGCATTGCAGGGCAAAGCAAAGGTTACCAGTAGGTTGTTTCAGAGATGCCATTAATTACAAGTTTTATAATGGTGATGAGTCTTTTATATGAAAGCGTCTTTTTAAAGGCAAACAATTAAAGGATTTCCTCAAAAGACTTTCCTCTTTCTCCCTCAGATTTGTGAGGCTGCCAGCTCCAAAATGAAAAAAAAAATAATTTTTTTAAAAAGTCCCCAAGAACTGATCTTAATCAGAATACTCCCAATTTGTTGCATTTCAGTCTGTATTTTAAAGGATCAGTTAGTCTTATGGTCCAATAGTCTCATGTGGATGCTCTTGGCTGAAGAAGAAAGTAGACCTCCATCACTAGCCCACTCCCTGTGAGGGAACTACATAAACATGCTCCAAGCTGTCTAAAGAGAGAGAAACTGAATCCAACACCTTTAAAAGAAATTAAGTTTTTAAAAGGTGAGACATTCAGACTGGATGAGCTCACACTCAGAGGCCTTCTGACACCACTCAAGGCCAGTTTTCAGGTCACAAGCAGTAAAGAAAAGGAGAATGGAATATTCTAATGAGTCAGAGTTTAGACTCATTAAAGAATCAGGAGAATGGAGAGTAGAAAGCCACAGCCCTCAGCTGACAGGCGAACGAAGAGCCTCTCAGCGCTTCGTCACCACACTCTCCTCACCCACCATCTCTTGCTGACCCTGGGTCTTTCTTACGCTGATCCTGCGAGTACACTTACCAAGCAGTGGCCTGAAGAGAGAGCAACTGTTTTCCTGCCTTCCTGCTCAAATCTCCTCCTTCATCCATCCTTTAATATTTCTGTATCTCTTTTCCTTCCTCATCTTGCTCTCTAATTTCTTCTCAGTAACTCGGACTGACTTGCTTCAGGACACAGCTTTTGAACCTCCCCCTAAACTGATGACCAGAGCAGCATTTAAGGCCTGTGCTTCCACAACAGCAAGACCGCAAGTACGAACAGATACAAGAGAAACCGCACTCTCTATTTTGTGATTGTTTCCTCCCTTCTGCAGTGGTTTTCATGAAAAAGCAGAATGATGCGCAAAGAAAATCAACTTCAGCCCACCCCTGCCAATTTGTCACAACAGAAGAATTGTGGCCAGCTTTGCCATCTACAGCTGTGTAGGTTGTCCTTAAAAAAACGAGACAAAGGGACAACAGGAAAAATATGCTAATAAAATGAAGTCTTAACACTTCATATAAAATTTCATTACTTCAGTTTTTCTTTATTTGTCTGTATCTTTAGTAGAAGTGTTGCAAATATTTTGATAAAAGAAATGAAAATCTAATTACAAAAGAGTTTGGTTTGATTAAGAAGTAGAAAATTATGAAGCATAGGTATGGGAGTGTTAAGTCTGAAATGTAGCCATAGGAACTTAGGAACTTAGAAAATGTATAATGTGTAACCATAAGAATTCAAGTATTGTTTAAAATCATTTAACCAGAGAAGCTTTGACAAAGATTGGTAGCCTTGTAGTGTTTGTTTTAGAAACTGAGGAAACCGTTATGGACACCAGTTTGCTGCTTGGAAACACCTGCTCAGGTGAGGTCAAGAAGTAGACGAGTGAGGAAGACTACGAAAGACCACCAGAGGACTCCTGAAGACCACCAGAGACCTTCACTGCGCCTGCGTAAAGGACATTTACATATGCTAATGATTTCCCAGAAATCTAATGAATATGTATAACCTTTCTTGGAAATCTAATGAATATGTATGAATAAGTTTTAATATAAGGTGAATGATTTTGGTGTTCGGTGTGTGTGGTTCATGAGAGGACTCACCCGCGCACCCGGCCATCAATAAAGAAGTGTCTGCTTATCTACACTAAATTGGTGTTGATAAGTTCTTTACTCCGAGTTTTTTGGCAACAGAAGTTTGTATGTGTTTAGTGGTATTTTTGTTGTGTGCTGGCCTCTGCTTCAGGTACTGAGTTTAGGTTGATGGCTTACTAAAACCTTAAGCTGTGAACTTCCCTCCTGTTACACTTGGCTGTTTAGGCTGATAGTCCAGTTAAGTCTTTTGTTTAAATCATTGGCTAAAGGCTTTGTATTTTTATTACAAATAAATACATGTGACAACGTTTTGCATTTCTCCACATTTGAGAATGCCATTCGGCAGTGGCTGTGTAATTAATTAATGAATGCCTTCCTTCTTGAAGGCAGAGCTATATAATCCTCATCTGCCTAAGGGAAGCATGAAGTTAACGGAAATCAATCAGAAATACAAATCTTGTCAGCTAATGCCATATGCTGGTTTTTCCCCATGAATTGCTGCAAATTAGCAGGACGGAGATTCAGTAGCATACATTTTGCATCACCTGTCACGACGGTTACTCTTTTTAAATTAACTGTCGGTAGAGAAATATCTGCCAGGAGCTCTGTGTTCAAAATGTCGAACTGAGCTTAAGCATTTAGCGCTAGAAGGCATCAGAACAGATATCCTTGTGTTTGACGCTCCCAGCCTTCCCACCTTACGGGAATAAAACCAGTGGGCGACTAGAACTTGGAAAAGGGGACAAACCCAAACCAACAACAAAAAATCCCCAAACCCCAACCCAAAAACCCGATTCTCGTGCGATTTAAGCTCTTTCTTTCGCAAGCAGCAGGCGCCTTTCACAGCATCACCACGCCGACCCC